CTTTAAAGTTCGATTCAGGTCTGAAAAACTTTAAAGTACAGCCTTATCCAAATATATTGTGTTATTACTAAATTTCCCATTGCGTTTGAATAGTGATAAATGCTCAATACATATATAATGCTATTAAAAATATGAAAAGGATGTATTTATGCTCTTCTTTCTCTTTTACAAATACTATTAGGATGCTAGGCTAAATTTGAGAACATTGCTGTACCTACCGAATTTTTTTATCGAATTTTTTACTTACCATTTATAACATGGGTGGAGACCACAGGCTGTCATTTTTAAATTCATGCGGAGCTCACCATTCATTGTAAGAGGGGGAACGCCATTCGATCCCCCTCTGTACATATATATTTATCCTAAATTTGAAAACCATGTTTTGGCAACATTTAAGCTTAGCCCAACATGCTCTGATAAAATATATTCTAACATTGAAATTTCCTTCCAATTTGTGCCAAAGTCAAAATAACTTAATGAGCGTTTTTCGGCAATACACAAGAACCGCGTTTTTTGCGTTATTAACTTTTCAGCGTTGATTGAGAGGTCAACCTTATCAAACAATTGAATTAGCTAACGTGAAGAGCCTGAGGATTGTGCTATTTAAGTGCGACACAAAACAAAAAACAATGCCAGTGATTTTGGCCACTGCAATCAGACCACCTATTGCAATCCCTAACAGTATTACGCTACAATCTGAAAGATTTCATAGTTTCAACAATTTTTTTCACTTTCACAGAGAACTGTATTTTCGAGGGAACGCTATTTCCCGAAAATTTGCTTTGTGGCCTAACAGAACCCTGAATCCAAAAACCATGATAGATTCGATGAGAACCCATGTGAGTACAAGGGAAAATGGGGTTCAATCTTTTGAACAGGAAGCTTTCATTGAAGGGCCCTCTGATTCTGGAGCTGTTGGGCTCGAAGGGACTCTCAATAGTTTGGTAAATTGTCTATTTGCAATGAAAGTTTTAATACGTTTAATATCTGTATATAGTATGTTTAATTTAGTAGGTTGTTAATTTTATTTCTGTATCTGACTTGCGTGGTTATATGCTATAAAAATTCATATTTAAACTTCGATCGAAAAGTGACTTGTGGTATGGATTCTCTTGTGAAATATTCCTCAGGGGTGGGGCGGGTGTGGGGGGTTCCTGGTTTCCCATCCTACCAATTGAACTTTATGTGAGATGGAGATGATGTCTGTAATTTGGAAAGGAGAACGAGTTGATAGTCATTCCTATAGTCAAGATTTCGTTTCAATCGATTTCAATTTTAGAACTTGATATCTCTAAAAAAAATGTTTAATCTGCTGAGTTTTATAATCTACTATGGAAAAACTAAACTTGTTTGGTCTTCATGAGTCTGTTTAGTTGCTCAATTTTAGATAACGGGGAAGGAAGGGAAGGATTTGAAAAATGCTAGAAATTCTCTCAATGTGAATAACTTTATTCGGAAATTTATGCATCATTTTGTGACATTTTATTTAATTATTACTTTGAAAAATCATGGTCTGAGTTGCTCGTCCAGAATAGAGGAATATTTTTGATATTGGGAAACAAACAATGGAAAATGCACATTTGGATGGTCAGTTTTTAGTAAGTCTATTTTTTTTCACTCAATATGTTACTTTTTGTAAGCTGAGTCTTATATGGTGCTTTAAAATCCAAGATCAAGGGGAGGAGTGGCTAAACATTCACTTTCTCCCAAAATGACATGGGAGGCAAATCACAAAACTTCAAAAATCTAGATCCACCACCCGACATACCACCTTTACCCGGTGGATTTCAACCCCAAACAACCAAAAATCATCCAGTACTCCAAGCCACAATGGTTTTGGAAGCAATAGAATCAGATTTATATGAAAACATTGAAGGTACGAATCCCAATGTTTTCAAAACTCCACTCTACGCATTGAATCAGGGTCTGGGACCATCACCAATGATTCCAGAAGGGTCGAAAACCCTAAACCCCAAACCCTAACCCTAAACCAAAACCAAATCCTAAACAGCACTTTCTCTCTCTAACGCAAAATGCTCTCCCTTCTCTCTAAAATGGGAGACAAATCACAATTCTTCAAAAATCTTGATCCACCACCCGACATACAACCTTTACCCGGTGGATTTCAACCCCAAAAAACCCAAAATCTTCCAGCACCTCAAGCTACAATGGTTTTGGAAGCAATAGAATCAGATTTATATGAAAATGTTGATGGCACAAATCCCAATGTTGTCAAAACTCCACTCTACGCATTGAATCAGGGTTTGCGACCATCACCAATGGTTCCAAAAGGGTCGAAATCCCTAAACCCTAAACCATAAACCCCAAACACCAAACCCTGAACCCTAAACCAAACCCTAAACCACACTTTCTCTCTCTAGCCCAAAACACTCTCCCTTCTCTCTAGAATGCGAGACAAATCGCAAACCTTCAAAAATCTTGATCCACCACCCGACAACCACCTTTACCCAGTGGATTTCAACCCCGAACAACCTAAAATCTTCCAGTACTTCAAGCTACAGTGGTTTCGGAAGCAATAGAATCAGATTTATATGAAAATGTTGTTGGCACGAATCCCAATGTTGTCAAAACTCCACTTTCCGCATTGAATCAGGGTCTGGGACCATCACCAATGATTCCAGAAGGGTCCAAATCCGTAAACCCCAAACCCTAAACCGCACTTTCTCTCTCTATCCCAGAACGCTCTCCCTTCTCTCTAAAATGGGAGACAAATCACAGGCCTTCAAAAATCTTGATCCACCACCCGACGAAACACCTTTACCCGATGGATTTCAACCCCAAAAAATCCAAAATCTTCCAGCACATCAAGCTACAGTGGTTTTGGAAGCAATCGAATTAAAATTTATATGAAATTGTTGATGGCACGAATCCCAATGTTGTCAAAACTCCACTCTACGCATTGAATCAGGGTCTGGATCCATCACTAATGATTCCAGAAGGGCCGAAATCCCTAAACCCCAAACCCTAAAACAAAACCAAACCCTAAACCGCACTTTCTTTCTCTAGCCCAAAACGCTCTCCCTTCTCTCTAAAATGGGAGACAAATCACAAACCTTCAAAAATCTTGATCCACCACCCAACACACCACCTTTACCCGATGGATTTAAACCCCAAACAGCCAAAAATCATCCAGTACTCCACGCCACAATGGTTTTGGAAGCAATAGAATCAGATTTATATGAAAATGTTGATGGTACAAATCCCAATTTTTTCGAAACTCCACTCTAGGCATTGAATCGGGGTCTGGGACCATCACCAATGATTCCAAAAGGGCCAAAAACCCTAAACCCCAAAGCCCAAACCCTAAACCAAAACCACTCCCGTTTTATGGTTCTATTCATGGAAAGTTTTTGTACTAAAGGCATTTATATCCTATCTGTGGGTTAGAATTATTGTTGTTCTGGGTGCTATCGGATTTGCTGTAGGATTTATTCGACATGTTTACCTGACCTGGCTTCGAGATGAAAACTGAATTTATATTCTCAGAAAGTATTATGGCAACAATCGTTCTCTTTTGTCCTGCAGAATTCCGTTTAATCTGGATGATATTTGACCATTGAAATTCATGACCATTGTGTTCTTATTTGTAATCATTGTTGAACCCCACTTGACATGCACAAGATGGAATGTGAATTCTTCGAGATCCTTCCATTCTTCAAACAGAAAATGACAAATAGATTCAAACTGATTCTAGAATGTCTTTTTGAATATTGAATAAAGCTGCAGAACCAAAGGTTCCAATCCTGCCACCTCAGCCCCTGATTTTGAATGGGGCGGGCCCCATGAATTAAAGATCAAGGGTCGAGGAAATTGCCGCCTCGTAGGGATGGCAATCGGGCTCGCTGGCTCGGGCTGCCCGTGGCTCGGCTCGAGGCTCGGTAGCCCGAGCCTAGGTTCGGGCCAAGCCCCATTTCGGGGACACGGGCTTTGCCCGAGCCGGCCCGTGAGTTCGCGAGCTTTTTAATAAAAGAAAAAAAAAATTAAATTGAAGCCTTAAAAGGCAACAAATCTGCTGCCTTAAAAGGCAGCAGATTAGAAGAAGAACCCACAAAAAACAAAAAAAAAGGTGGAGAAAACGAGCCTGCCCGGCTCGGCCCGTTAAAAGTCCGATCAAAAGCTCGGGCCGAGCCTATTTTTTTGGCCGAGCTTTTTGCGGGCTCGAGGCCAAGCCCGAGCCGAAACTTTAGGCTCGCGAGCCCACTCGACCCGGCTCGTTTACATCCCTATCGCCTCGGGCCTAGAGCCAATCCGGGGTTTTAAACCTGGGATCTAAAGCATCTCTCTTGAATATTTCATGATGTCTTGACTATTCAAATCAAGACAATTTTTGAGTAATCAATGACTTTTCGATGGAGAATGGTCAATAATAGTTTCAATTTAATGAATAAGGGATCCAGGCTTTAAAAATAGTGTTTTGTATGAGCAGGGAAAATCAAATAAATATAATCATATTATCTGGAACTCAAAAAAATAAAAAATAAAAAATAAAGAATAAAGAAATAGTCAAGATTCAATAACTTTACCCGAAAATCATTACTGTTTTATGATGACAACAATCGTAATAAAATCTTGAATAATGCTACTTGTATATTATGAAGTTATGTAATAATTTACGTATAGATGATGTTTAAAAAGAAATTGGAAAAGAATTTTATTATTATTATCATTATTTTCTTCATTTGGTTGAAAAAATTCTTATCCAATCATATCTCATTATATCATGTGTATGTAAACCATTATGTACGTATAGCATAATCGTAAAATCTTTGTTTACTTAATCTATTACAAAATCTTTGTCTTCTCTGGTTATGTCACGATCGACCTGTCTTTGCACACTTCTTTGCAACCGTGCACCTCTGGGAAATAAAAAAAAACACTAGGATAAGAGTCTTTGCACGCTTCTTTTTTCCCCCAGAATTTGGTAAGCCTTCAATAAGGAGATCCAATAACAACTAGGAATTAAGACACTGCAAACGAGCTTTTATCTAACAGATTCTCTGCATCATTAGCAGTAAGGTCTTTCTAATGTAGGTTCAGTCTTCCAAATTCCAAAGGTCTGATCAGATGTAAACATCCAAACATTTCACAGTAGTTCCGTAAGGGAAGCACCACTATGGGTAAAACTTACCAAAGAACAAACTCAACATGTGCATCTGTTCGCTTGCAGAGCACGAATAAGTACAAAAACCATTTTAAGAATAATGGCTTCATCCTCAATCTAACAGTACTTTATGAGTGATGCGGATCCAAATTGGTTGAGCAGCATAAAAACAAGACATTTGCTCCACAACAGTGTATCCTCTTTCAAGGAAAATGTCTTCATGCTTTGTCATGCCTTATTGCCGCTTTACTAAAAACACCAGCAAACGATGCATCCATTTGACATTGTTGAAAAAATGACTTAAATCTCCTTCCATTTGTTTACTTGATATCGGCGAGCCATATCATCTCGAAGCAACATTTCCAATCAATTTCGATAATCATCCCTGATGATGAAGTTAACCTAAAACCAACTTTGTTGACAGTGTATATTGCAGTTTTCAAGTCTAAATATGACACCGAATCTTCCTTCCTATATCACTGTGCGACTCTCCCATGCTAGTCCAAAAGGAAAAGAGTTGCCATGTATGCAACAGTTTTCATGATGAAAGATGCTGGTGTTAATCTCCTGCATCATACAGGAATAACGCAACTTCCTGTACAGCAAGATCTGCTCTAAAGGCTACCAACTTCAAAATATTGTATATTTCTTCGCACTCTGGATGCAATCCATCACCAGCAACGAACGCAGAAATCTGATTTTTGACCTTAATCCAAGACCAACCAGGTTCTTTCATAACACCTTTTGATTTCATGAGTTTCCTCATGTCTGCTGCTTCCCTCCACTTCCCTCTTGAAGAATATATATTAGCCAAGGTTATATGAGTCCCAGCACAATTTGGATCCAATTTAAGTATCTGCTCTGCGGCACGCTTTCCACATTCTACATCTCCATGTACTCTACTGGCTCTTAACAGAGTTGACCATACGACATCGTCCCGTTCATACGGCATGCTTCTTATCATTTTTTCTGCTTTGCGCAACTGTCCAGCTCTACATAGAAGATCAATCATGCAACCATAATGTTCTTTAGTAGGATTTATCTTGTACTCACTAGTCATTGAATCAAAATACTGAAAGCCGAGATCAACAATTCCAACATGACTACAAGCACTAAGGACACCAATAAATGTTACAGAGTCTGGCCTCAAACCAACCACGGGAATTTTCTCAAATAGATCAATTGCTTCTTGGCTGTATCCATGTTCAGCATATCCATTGATCATGGCCGTCCATGATACAATATCATCATTCTCTGCTACCTTAAATATTTTAGATGCCTCTCCTATGCTCCCACATTTTGAATACATGTTGATCAGAGCACTTCGTGTCATAGCTCTTTGATCTAAACCAATTGTAAGGACATAAGCATGAAGTTGCTTACCCTGATCAAGAATTGCCATACTACCACATACACTCAACCCACTAGAAAGAGCAAACTCTGTGGGGTTTGGTCCTTCTCTCCTCATCCATGATAGAAGCTCAAAAGCCTTCTCTGTAAAACCTCCTTGAGCATACCCGGCAATAATAGTACTCCAAGAAATGATGTCTCGCCTGGACATTTCAGTGAAGACTATTGAGGCCGACTCACAGTATCCACATTTTGAATACATTGTCATGACAGAATTTGCCACAGATAATGAGTCCATGAGACCTATATGTAAAACATGCGCATGCATTTGTTTTCCCCAATCAAGTCTTGCAACATTGGCAACACCAGAAATCACAGCTGCATAAGTATACTCATTAGGACATACGTTCGACTCTCTCATCTGCAGAAACGCATCAATTCCCTCCTTCTCTTGGCCCATCTGGATGTACGATGTAATTATAGTTGTCCATGAAACCACATCCTGCTTATTCATTCTTTGAAATAAGAACAAACCGCATTGCGCTCTCTCACACTTATTGTACATGGTAGCAAGACTATTGGCCACATATGAGGTCACATCTACTCCATTCTTCATGGCTCGAGCATGAATTTCCTTCCCAGACTTCAAATATCTCATATCAGCGCATGCCTTCAATGCAATGGCTAAAGTATAGGAATCATATTCAACACCGTCTCTCCACATTTCAGCAAAATAGATCAATCCCTCCTTGTTATAACCGGCATGAACAAGCCCCGTAATAATGGCAGTCCATGAAACTACATTCCTCAACGGCATCTCATCAAAGATTCTACAACCCTCCCAAACACTCCCGTTCTTCATATACATGTCAAGAATTGCACTCCCCACAAAAACAGAGTTTACTAAACCAGTTTTCACTGAAAACACATGTAACATTTCCCCATATTTCAGATTCATATTCAGCCCACAAGCCTTGAACGCAAGGCTAAGTATGAAGGGGTCCATTTTGAGACGCTGGTCGACCCACATTTTGGAAAACAAAGACAATGCTTCAGACGAATCAGACGCATTCACATAGCCCGAAATCATGGTTGTCCATGAAATTTCATTTTTGTGAGGAATTTCATCGAACAATTTCCGTGCACGGTTCAAGTTTCCAGTTTTCAGCATGCCCTTCAGCTGAGAATTGATTTCTACCATTTCGATTTGAATGGCATCATGGGATTTCTGTGTCAAGTGATTTCGAAGTTCTTCCTGAGATAAAACGTCCCAGGTTTCGGCACACGCAACGGCATATGTTGCATAAAATCTTCTAATAATATTACCCCTGACTGACATCATCATATTTGAGAATCACCAGATCAACAAGACAAGTTTTAGCAGTGTTTAACGATGAGGCCTAGTGCAACAACCCAACATTTTTTTTATGCTGGATGGTGACTCCAAAATAACTATAATAAGATGTTGAAAGTTCATAAGAATAGTTGTCATGGACCAATCCAATTTCTCAAGTAAAAAACTTTCATAAAATAAAACAAAGGAAAAAAAGGGTATAGTTGAGTATTAAAATTTTCAATTATCAAGAAATTGGTGCATCATTTAAATATTGCTAGGAAAATCCAATAACACAAAACATTGACGAAGGAATGAGAGTACAACTACTCTTTCTGATGTTAATCAATACAAATCTTTAAGTTGATCCATTTCAATATCAAGTACCAATTTTCTTGATACAGATATCGACGATGCTTTTGTGAATAATTCATTTATATTATCACTAGAATAAAAAAATCTCATATCAATAGTATCTTTTAGGTAACAAAGAACAAAAGTGAAATCCTTTATCCTAGAAGCTGGGCGCATGATACCCGTAAGTCCTCTTTCAATTTTAGGATAAGCACGAACCATGCATCTTCCCATTCAAAACTATTTTCGACAATGAATCATAATAGTGAGTCAATGGGCTATTTTGTAGATCCTTCGGAAACTTTGGTAGATTGCAAATGCTAGGCCCTGTTTGAGCCCCAATAATTTGAAGAAAATGTATTATGGAATAGTTATTGATGAAAATGTGTGGTTAAAAAAACGTAAAAGTTTTTTATTTGGGTGTAATATTATTTTAATGAAAAATGTGTGGTTAAAAATGAGTACAATAGAAAAATAATGAGAGAAAATATAAAATAAAGGATGACAAACAGGGGCTTAATATATATATGGATAATGCGTTTAACATTATTTTAAATTTTTGAGTTGGTGTAGAATTATATCTAGCAAATAAATTTACAAGAAAATATATATCTGGTCAAGTGCAATTTGAAAGTTAGTTAATGCTCCATTTACATTTACATAATAATGATTGAACGACCGTAGGAGATGATACCCAATATGTTTTATACATAAAGATATTTTAAAACTTTTGTGTATATAAAATTGGTGAATAAAAAAATCATTCTTAAAAATGTTTAATTTGCGACTCAAGACAGAATTTGGTTTTTCCCAAATCTTTAATCTCAAATTCAATTTTTAAGTAATATGAATTTCCCAAATATTCAAAAAAATTAACACAATTGCAAATTCATTATTTTTTTTTTTTATGAAGATAAATAGGCAAATGTCATCATTTTTATCACCTCTTGCACCAAATATTCGCTAAATGACCAACAATTGCTATTCATTTTATATTACAAAAGTGTACGGATCGTGATGAGTAATAGAAAAAATCTAAGAGTTCGTATTAACGTTCCCACTAGTACTACTATTCAACAGTTAGTTCAGACTACTCATATTGAGTGAAAACGAATAAAGATAATTTTTTTTCTATCGTAAATATTATAAGTCTCCGGAAAAAAAATTAAAAATGTGTTTCTATATGATTGTTTAAGTGTTAGAATTCACGAGTACACTATAGTTATCCTCTTAATTTTAATCATCGATTTTACAACAACTAATTGTGTGTAACTGATCGAATCCTTCTATTTAATTGATTTACCTCTTTTGAGTTCACACCAATAACCCGAATCACCCTAGTGGATAAAAAACGTAACGTGCACCGATGATAGATGCTGACTAGATGTCAAATCTATTACCTAGGCTGACTATGAGTTATTTCAAAAAAAATGTATCAAAATCAAATGTTTATGTAAAATATAATGCGATGAGCCCAAATTATTACTTCATGCTTCATCAATATGAGTTATAACACTCAACATGTCTTGTGGTTCTCATTCCGAAATCATTAAGCTCTTTCAGCTAAAAAAAAAATCAATTGTTACCTATAGGAAAAATTATGGAAAAATATATGAGCTCATAGCTCAGTGAGTGGAGAAGTTCGAAAATATTTATACTTTTTCAATTTGACATTTTTATAAAAATCGAGTTCATATAATTGATTAACTTGCAAGACAATATTATATAATTATAGACAAAACGAGCGACATTCATATACGTTTCAAATATCATCTCAAAATCAAACTATAAATATCAACTGATAACAATACTATAATCTCATCACATCAAATGTACTGAAAAATCTACCAAAAATGTACCATCTGACTAAAACCTATAATTCGTCCCTCGGTTAAGAACTTTCGTCACGGGCCTTTGGCCTCCTTGGTGAACGAAAGTCGAACTCAAGACCTCTGATAATTAATTGTAGAACACGATCAAGGCCTCTCAGTGAACTATAAGTATATGGTCAAGACTCCTTTATCCCCGGTCCAAGACCCCTCAGTATAGTATAGAATACGACCAAGGCCCTTTAGTGAACTAGAAATAATATGTAATCATGGGTACTTTTCTGGTCGTTTTCAATATCACACATCTCACATACCAAATCACAAACGTACCATAAGTAATCCTTGAAATTCCACATGGATCATAACAAAAGAAAGTTTCATCGTAATCACATAATGGAGCAAATAATTTACATAATTGTACATACTTTGATAATATACTTAATTTATAAATACTTTAAAAATATTTATATTTTTCTACTCACATAATTAACTTGGTTGGTAAGCTGTCCCGATATCCGTATCGCCATCTAAAATATGATATAATTTTTAAATCAACAATTAATTATTTTAAGTAATTTCAATAATTAATAGGCGATACCAAAACTTAATCATTTCACGTTTAAGCAATTTTTAAAGTCTCATCAATCACTAAAACTAAATTTTATTTCATTTAACTCAATTTCATAACTTATTATACTCAACCCCTTCAATAAAATTGAATTTAATTTAATAATCTTACAATTATAAAATCAAACATAACTTGACAATAAATAACTTTTTAATTACTTTTCAAAATTGAGAAATTCAAACCTAATAGTGTAGACCACTTATTTTCTAACAACTTAACAAAATTTTTCTAAATTTTTTTTTCTGTGTTCTCGTTCTCATGTTTTGGTGGCGTATGATAAAAAATGAGAGGAATGGGAAATGATTTATTGTTATATTCAAAGCCTCCACATTCTTTCACTTCACTTTTTTTTTTTAATTCTTTATTTCATTTCTATTCATTTATTTTGTTATTTATTTATTTATTGCTTGATAAATTTGACAACTTTTAGACTTTGACTTACACTTACTAAATGAATTGGGATATTACACTTTATATGAATTCGAATAAGTCTTAATAAAGAGAATTCAATCATCAAAAACTTTCTGTAATAACTGTGACACTTATAAAAGCGTATCTCTACTCTTTGTTCCAAATTGCAAATTTTTACTACGTGACATAAACAAATAACTTGCATCTCGACGTAATAATTGTTCGCAAATCAATGAATTAGTGGCAAATTAATTCAAAGCATTAAGAATGGAAGTAAAAATAATTCACAACTTAAATTGGAGATATAATTTTTTGAAATTAAAATTAAGGTTCGAAGTAGGTAACAATCGTTCATCCTAACTAAGTGCTTAATTATATATCTTGGAAAAAGAAAAATACAAGGGAGAATTAAAGTAAATCATTGGGTTATAAGGAAAAAGACGAAGATCTTGAACTAATAATTCACTTTTTTCTTTTAAAATCCTTGAAAACCTTAACTTCATATTAGTTTTTTATTTTTATTTTTAATCTCCTTTAGGAGCTCTCTTTTCTTGTAATTAATATGATTTTTTTGCGTCCCAAAATGTCCCTTTATTATGTGAAATATATGTATAATGGATTCTCGTAAACCTCGACTTGAATATATGTGTATAATGAAATCTCACAAGCCTCTACAAGCCCCTTCAATTGTTGGACTAAAGCATGTATTTGGCTTTTAAAAAACACTAAACAAACGATATCAGTACGTTTAGGAGATCAAAATAAGTATTCTGCCTGAAGAAGGCTCGCGTGGAAAGTTGCTGCACACACCACCATCGTCACGCGCCTCTGTTCCTCCAACCGAGGTCTCGTTTGGCCGAAATTTGGAATTTTCAGATATGGTTCAAAAGGAAAATCGCGTCTCCTTCGTGATTTTGGCAGGTTTTTCAACCTCCAAACTCTGATACCAGATGTAGATGAGAAAGACCACAGCCACCAAGGTAATACCGAGCTTAGTTCACCACCAAGATCAACACCACAATTCAAACAAGACCAAACACCTCCAACCAGATTTCTTTCCTTTTCATGGTTGCTAGTCAATGCCCACAAAGAGACTACAAAGGATAGTAAAAATCTCACAAAGATCAACCCCAAAGATAGTAAATCGAGAATGAATCGAGAGATGGATAAGAAGAAAGAAGGCAGTGAAGTCACGCACTCTAGGCAGCAAAGGAGAGACTGTCCATTTAACCAAAGGGGCTGGCAAAATAAGGTAAGTTAGGTTAGGTTAGGTTAAGGTAGTAGTTCAAGTGGCCAAACACAAAAGAATAGTGGGCCAATAAAATGGGTCTCATTGCTAAGCAATCCAAGTGAATGGGTTGGGCCACGAGCAACTCTACTAAACTAGGTCGCTTTGACTGGTCCATTTCAAATTGGAATTTGGTCGTTCATTTTGTAGTGTCAATATATCGTTCAATCATTGCATAAGTCGACTGAAATTATAACTGAGTTAACATCACAGCTCGAGGAGGTCATTTGACAACAATTTACCAAACAATTGTAGATTATGATTTTATGATCAGATGTTGTAGTTGAGACGCTGTGATTAATTGCAAACATTGGGATCAAAACCATCCAAAAATTCTTGAAACCAAAAGATAATTTTTCTCAAACGCAAAGTGTTCGATAAAATTATCCATTGAATGTCCTTTTAACCATTAGGCCCCAAACTCGCACAACAGACACATGCCGCTGTTTGAGCCACATTATTTCTCATTACATTAAATTAAATTTTTGTCTCTCTTACTTTTAACAACACAATCTTCAATAAAATAATATTACACTTAAATCAAAAACTTTTCAACCATTTATTTTTCAAAAAAAATACTATTCATCTCATTATAATCTACAAATAATGGGGCTCAAACGGAGGCTTATTGATACATTAATTTTCGTGCAAAAATATTTGCATGATGATCTATATTGGGGCTCTTTAGAGACGAATGTGGCATGGGAAATGCAAAGGGCTCCATCCCGTACTACGTCCAATATTCCATCCTTTACTTTGTTTCTGGACTTTTGTA